ATATGAGTATATTATGGCTGTTGGCATCAAACTGCCTACCGACCCTACAGCCGAGTTACTGTGGTGTTGAGGTGCCGAAGCGCCAAAGCACTCGAGTTGTTTGAGTCGTCGAGTCGAGAGTCGTGAAGTCAGAGATTGTCGCATCGATGGTAGCTGTTGATGATGGCTTGCTGGCTGCTGATGTGCACGAGTGGATGTTGGAGCAGAAGTAACGAGTAAACGAGCGTTGGGCGAGCAGTTGCAGCACCGTGGCGCGCATAATGAGCATAATGAACATAACTAGTGAGAGTGGCGAGTCAATGGCCGCAATAAAAATCAAACAAATAAGTGGAAAGGAGGAAACTAGCAAAAAATTCACTGCGATTCTGGAAAATATTCGAACAAATCCAATGGAGTCACCCTGTGCTGGTTTGTGATCCGCGCTTTAACTAAAGGGAAATTACGGAAGGAATTCTAATGCTCTCCGAAAGTCCTTCTCCTTAACCCAGTAATGGAAATTCAGAACACATAGATAGTATAAGACCTTTACCACAAATTAAAAATTACCGGAAATTTATTTAGAAAAGAAGTGTGAAAAACCAGCACTTAAATATAATAAAATTTCCACCCAAGATTCACGCGACTTTATCGGTATTTGTGCCAAGTTCTAAGTACGAGAGATCTGTTTCTAAATGTTTGATTTAGTAAGTTAGAAAGTAAAAAATTGTGAATTAAATATTTAAAAATGTTACAAATTCAATTATAATTTAAAACTCTATTAATTACAGTTTTATTAACATAAGGAGGTAAGCGAGTTAGATATGATGCTATGAAGTTTGATATTTTCTGCAAAAAACCTACCCTATGAACTCTCAAACCAAAGACTCTCTGTAAAGTCAGTATAAAGTTGTGTGTGTTTATAAAAAAATGCTTCCTTTAAAACTAACACGAACAGCATATTTGCTTCATCTACTTAGTCACACTGTTGTATTCAACAGCATAATTTCGTTTTTGCGATAACATAAGTGGCATTAACAGCATTTATACACTTAAGCATTAGATGTTACTAAAAGTTAGCTGCAAAGTGATGAACTGACCACTTACTTACATCGTTGGCAATCAGCGGCAAAGTCCAGTGAACAATACTCCAGCAGCCAACTTTAAAAATCTCATAATTATGAAACGCAAAAGCACACTACTCGCTCTTCATCTCTCAGAGATTCTCTAACAGCTCCGCATCAGTTGCTCCACTTGTGTTAACCAATGGCAACAGTGCTTAGCCTAGCAGAGTGAATTTCATTGTGTGTACTCCACTGCGTATGTGTAACATTTAGCAGATAGGACAGCAGAGTGTTTTCCTTTTCACTTTTTTGAAGTTTCACAACTGCAACATCGGCAACAACATTAAGCCCGAAGCACTCAGCGACAGTAACTGTTTAATAACATTAAGTTGATTGTCAGTCAATGAGTGCATGCTCAGCGTTGCCAACGCAATCATGGCTGATGATATCGCTACTGTTGTCGACGATGCTGCTGCTGCTGTTGCTGCTACTGTTACTGCTGTCGTACGCATTTTTCGTGTTGCTACTGCTACGTCATGTGCTCGTGCTTTCCACGCACACACATACTCGTAAACATATATGGCGTTGATGCGGTTATGAATAGGTGTATTATACATACAAACAAAGCATGCCATTGCAGTTTACAAACACACAAACATACGGGCACATTTTGCATGGAAGCACGGCATATCCTTGCACCAAAAACCACGAGTGCCTCGCACAATGAAGCGCTGCGCATCACTCTGGCGGATATATTCTGTCAAACATAACCTATATGCAAGTACATACATCAATATGATGAGGTGTACTCGTGCGAAAATGTGTGCGACAGCTACATTCACTTAACAGCAGGTGTGCGCGCAATTCCACATCCACACACACACACACACACATATGTACGTTTTTAAGCCAGTGAGTGTGAACAATTTTCGTGCTTCGACGCAGGAACACAATCAAACTCAGGAAGCATAAAGAACGAAAAGAAATGGACATTTTTGAGACCGACAGCGAGAATTGCTTGGTACATTATTTGTTCATATGTAAATGTGTGTATATATGTACGTAAACCCTTAAGTAGGTAACTTAAATGGTTACATTTATACATATAAATCAACAATAAAAGTGACAGCTTTAACCTAAACTTAAAACCCTCTGCGTAATTACGTATCCGCACCACTTGACTCTCAGTAATCTCTGTCTCTAGATAAGTTATAAATAAGGAATTTAATACTCAATATTCTCTTTTATATTTTCACAAGAAATACCGCCAAGTTTTTTGAGGGCATGGCTACTACTTTTTGGGTGATCGTTTAAATCTCCAACGATTCAATGGCTACTTATTTGTTGAAAAAGCTCCATTCGAATCATAAGTTTAAGCAACTGAGTTAAAGCTCACCACTTTCTCTGGTATATTAGCATTTTTACAGCAAATAGAGCTATTAATTGACCGAAATCTTTCCTTTAATATAAAACAAAAATCTCTCAAGCGAGTAGTTCAAGCAGATAAATCTTTAAGTTTCAAAATTAATCATCTTAGCCGTCTTTGATACGATGTTGCGCTGCTCTCTTTTCCAATATGTTACATGTGAAAGCTCATTTATGTCTGTTGTTTGTTCGATTCTCCACTTTCCAAGTTTTGACACATCGAACAAAGCTCTTATTTCACTTTCGATTACTTTTGTAAATTGAAATTATTTCATGTTCACAAAACGCTACAAAAATCTGCTCTAGTTGCGTTTAGAAATCTCTAAAGTTGAGAGTCTAAACTCCGCTGCTTGGTGGACAGACGATGAGTGATATGGGCAAGTCTCTGCAATCATGGAGTCTTTTGCGTGAAATTTAACTTTTCATCGTTTATATTTTCACCAGTATCGTTCGGCTTTGGTGTAGACTTATTCAAAAATCACTAGACGATCTTGACGAACTTGAACAAGCTACAAAGGCATACTAATATAAACAATAGAATATTCGTACTTACTTTTGGCTTCAAGTTCCGTTAGAAAATTTTAAACAAACACGTTTAATAAATGATTTGGCCACTAGTTTCTTGAATTAGTTATTATACTTATTTACTTCTAACAGTATTTCGTTTTTGTTACGATATACAAAAAACTCTAGTGTCCACTTGCTTTACTCGGGCACCAAAGGAATACTAAATCAAAACGCGAATGGCAAAATTATATGTGTGGGAAAAATAAACATTTTCCACGTTACATTAACACGTCACCACTAGCCAAAGAAACCGTTGTGTCTCGTAGAAGTCCACAAGAACTTACACAAATACTCGCACCCTGCAGGAAAACTAACGGTTTTGTAATTAATAAACTACTTCAAGTTATTGGTGTAAGTAATTCTTACGAACGAGCAGATAATTGCTAAGCAGTAGGCATTAAAGACTGACTATCAATACAACTTAACGAATGTAATGTGCTAGTTTCAAGGTCGACACCAAATGTATACATACATACCTACATACATGTACGTTAATTTGTATATGCATATGAATTTATTTATTTACTAACTCGAAACCAAACTTTGTCTTCGCCCTTTCGGTTTTAGTAATCACGAGTAAGTAAGGCCCGTTCATACACACATACAGTGGGTTCAAAAAATAACATTTTTGTTTTCCAAATTGTAGGTGGCGTTTATTGGGAAAAATGTTGTAATTATAGAAAATACATTGTTTTGTTATAGCCGACGTTTAGTCAATACTTGCGATAATCTCTCGCGTTATCTATTATAGCCTGACATCTTTGATGGCAACTTGCAACTAAATTTTCCGTATTCAGTAGTTAGAGGAGCCGAATAAATATTTGAATAGAAATGTTTTCCTGATATTTTGGCTCTCATGAAAGCCCAAACATTCTAAATTGGACAAGCGTCTGGTGACTTTGATGGGCAAACTAAAGTAACAATATGGTTTTCTTGTTGAGTACAAAGTCTGCCCCTTTTTTGGGTAATTATCTTCTTGCAGTATGCATGGTTATTTTTGTCGTGAAGCATTCTAACGACGGTCAGAGAAGCATCCATAAACATCCCCCTGTGGGGGTGCTTAACACGCCCTTGAATAAATGTTTGTCCTTTCTTAGCCAAACACGTCTGCAATAATCATAGTTGATCTTTTCACCTCTTTACAAATGTACAACTCGTATTTAAATACTTTGCAATTTTTAATAGCCCATTTGGGACCTTGAGCATGCTTCGTTAGAGAGGCTGCTTCAAAACGTTTCTTCTACTGAGCACTAATTTTTCTTATTTCACGGCACGACGTAATATATTAAAAAGATCGAAAAAACTGACCGAATTGTACGCGTCAGTGATCGCAATTTTCAAAAATATAAAAACAGTTTCCACGAATTGATCGCGCAAATGGAAAACGTTAAATTTTAACGCACTTTTAGCTGACTAGCAAGTAACTAACTCTTTCGTTTGTTGTTTATAGAGACTGTAAAACTGAGCCATCATACAACAGACATAAAATGGTATCCTGTTTTTTTCCTTTCCTTAGGAAATTAAATTATAATAAGCTATGACAGAGAATCTCTCGTAGAGTAAAGAGGAAGTATAGGTTTATTTTCGCATGCATTCAGTAAAATCTAATGGAGCCTTTTAAGGTCAAATATACATATGTACATATATACCACGCATCTAGTTTTATAAAGTAAGTATTGATTGCCTTTTTCAGGCACTTACCTATGACTGCTAAGATTAAGATACTTCATATGAATTTTCGATTGAATCCCGAGGTCAATTTAAAAATATATACACATATACAGTCTGGTTCTGGTATACCTAACTACGATTTACTTAGCTATTTTTGTTAGAAAATTTGCATCTACCTTATAAATGTAGTGTTTTTGCTTTTAAACGGAGAAGAGCCACACCAACAGATGTTTTAAAGTATTTTACCTGTTACTGACTACATATATATAATGTTAACTAAAGCAAAATGTAGAACTAGAAGAAATTCTCAAGCAATATTCATAATCAAATAATTATATATAGAAAAAGTTGAAGTGAAATCAAATGTTTTTCTTCACTTCATCTGCAATTCTGTTATATTATACATCAGCGCACCTGCAGGATGAGGTTAGACAAGAAATTGTATTAAACAGTAACATGTCCTTATGCACACCTGTTGAAGTCTAAGCTGGCGCGGCTGTTTATACAGTACTTTTTTCACACGACCCTGCAGGAAATTGATTTACAAACACAGTGTTATTATATAAGATTATTTATTTTATATTATAATTTGTACTATAAAGCTCACTGTTACACGGAAATATGAAAAACCAAATCGACTTAAGTTCCTATTTCTATACGGCTCCCTCTAGTAATATACTTCCTTCAACCATAGCATATAATAGCAGCTCTGAAATTAACAATAATTTTTGAATATCAAATAATTTTTCTTAATACATATGGTATATAGAAGTTCTATGAACTTTGAAAACAAATTAAAATTTTAAAAATAAATACAAATAAATACGAATAATAAAATAGTTCACTTTAAAACTAAAAAAAATTAAGTAATAAGCATTAACTGGTTATAACTAACTAAACATACGTATATTTACTTATATAGTATGTATATATGCACATCTTTTCACAAAGTCCTTTTAAATGCAGAGCTGAAAGCTCTAGTTCAAAAGACCCAATATAACTAGAATTTTCAGCACTGCAATCACCCTGTTCATGCTAATGGTCAAATAACAAAAGCTCGCCGCTAGATGTAGCCCAATTTAGTAATAATCTAAGAGGTTTGAAACTTGACTAGCGCCGTATCAGCAGCACAGAATCAGAGAATGTTTATGAGTAAACATTCTCTGCCCGAACACTCTCCAGAGGTTCAACAAAAGAACAAAAAATGCGTCGTAAAATGCGGATCTTATGGATTCATCATTTGGGCGAAGCCAAACCCGCATCAGGTCCCTGCTTGATATGGCAATGATTAATTTGTAGGTCCTGTATTAACGTCATTACTCCATAACAGCGCAAACAAACCCTATGATGAGCTTGCACGAATTCATTGTTGTTACAAAGAAAAAGAGCCGGAAGTAACATTGAAAATCAGATTTCTGTGAAACGATTCCGTCCTAACAGTAGCAAAATTGTTTTCTAGAATTCCATACTAACTAATGTATCTTTTATCAGTTTACTAATACTTTTAATCAAAATTCAATGAATATGGATTTTTATAAAAATATATTCTTAAAATTTATGTATATCTCTAATGAGCACCTCTCTCCACCTCATCTAATAAGGACCGACCAATAAAACACCCTGCAAAATCGAAAAAAAAATATTTTTAAGAAAAATCGTAGAACAAAAGTTGGTTGCAACCGACAATTATAATAAATATCAAAATATTGAATGAATCAGAGTTATCAGGCTTTTAAGGGTTAAATTTGCAGTAAGCTTTTTTATTATTATACCGAGATGGATTTGCATTTCAATAAATTTTATTAAACTTCAGCAGTCCGAAATGTTTACAATCCCTTCCTACTGATAAAATAAATCTGAAATTCAATTACAACAGAGAAATCAATTACCATAATTCAGTCTCAATGGAGTCAACATGTGAAACCCTCTTCTCCACATCTGAGAAAATATAGTCCCTTAACCTTCCAAGATGTAAGTGCCACATATTGTGCATTTGATCAGACGTCGGCGAATATGAAAACAAATATTCGTGTGGGTTGGAATCACCTGTTTTATCTTGAAGTATATCACAAGTGGGCTGGTCCACCGCGCAAAAGACTGTATAAGCCTGCGCTGGAACAATCTTAATGTTTAACTGATTCGTCAATAAGCCCGTTATGTGTATATCGTCGATCCAAAAGAATTTGGCTCTCTGTGCTGCATCGTACAAGCGTCGCACAACATCGCCTGAATAGACGATGCCATAACCCGGGCAGTATGGTGGATATGTTTTGTTGGGATAGTTCCTATAGCTGGCATACCACCTAAAACGATAACTACGATGTACACGTACACCAATCTTTCGATTGCAAAACAATAGATCCCTCTGTTGTCTAAAGAGTAGCTTCAGAGGCTTGCTGATGTTGGTGATGTGTTCGCCGGCCTGATTGTCCGTTTGGGGTATCTGATTATGTAACATAGTGTTGTGCAGGTAGATCATCAATTGCGGTGTGTTGAGAAAGACATCGTCATCCACTTTAATGAGAATCTTAGAATTACCACAAAAGGTGAGAAACCATTTCATGGCCATCACATGTTTGTAGGTCATATTCTCATAGCTATCGACGAATGAACCTTGCACCATATCGTCGTATTCGAAATTCTCCCGCTCCAACTCTGCCTGATTCGTCTCGGTGCCGGGTATGCCAAGCATAAAGACCACACGAAAGGGTATGTTGTTCTTATGTAATGGCAACTCGACGAAATTCGCCCACGTTTGTCGTATCAATTTGCGTTTATCTCGATTCTCAGGCGCCGAAGGTACGACTACCAATGCGTGGATGTTGGGATTGCAGCTAGGCTGGTTCATAATGTACGTGAAATTGTAGAGATCGATTAATTGTCTGCTATCGTGATAATCGTCATCTTCGGTCGGTTGTATTGACATTCGTACGCTTTCGGTAATGCGATATTTACTATTTCTCAGAGATGGTATGAATGCGTACGCACATTCCCAAAGCACGTAGCCAATCACCAAGCCCACTAATGTTCCGACAAATAGACTAGCTACACTGGTCGCAGGCATTTTGCACAGATTTTCACCAATCCATACCGTTGCAGCCGATTTCGAAAAATAATATTTTAAGTAAATAATAAAAAATGACAGAAGCAAACATGAATGAACGGGAATTATTTTGTTTGTAAAGTTGATTTCATATTCAAAAAACATAATATTATCCTCCTCTTTAAATGCTCATAAGAATCGTCTTTTTTTATTATATAGTCATGCTTAAGAGGGAGAGGGACTAAAAATTTAGACAAACATTGAATATCTGAGCTTGTAAGATAATGCTTTTCAGGTGCACACGAATCCGCGTACATATTTATGTTTAACTTGTTTGCAAAACAACAACAAAGCAAGTTCTAATACCCACACCTTAAAAGAAATGCAACAAGTGAAGCCAATCGATATGAACTTTATACGCTTCTCTTCAATAATTCAAGGACCAACAACTGTTCGATCCCATACTTTAACTAAATAATAATTTGTTTAAATTTTAGGCGTAATGCGTACTTCGACAGGAGCACAGGGAACCTAAACAGCTTGCAGCTCTTTCACTTTCGATATATATTTTGCTTTTCGGATTGTTAGCATGTAAGGCAGCTGTAACGGTGCTATCAAAGGGTCCAGCAGCATTCACAACACTTAAGTGGGCTGATCTGAAGTAATCCTAGTACTATAGTGTTTTTTTTTCGGCTGCCCTTAAGGTTCCAAGATCTATTTTACTATTAATACTTCTGATTCTTTAAATGAAAGACCAATTAAATACATCTTTATTCTTTTATTCATGTATATATAATCTTTTCAATTGAACTTTTATTCGATCAATTCTCAAAACTAGTGAAATATTTCTATTTTTATATATAAAAAATTAAAAAATAACGTAACTGAGATAGTAAAGTTCTTATATAACCTACAACTTCATACAAAATTTTTTTTTTTTTTTTAATACTTTTGCATAATTCTACCATACAATGCGCACAAGCATAGCTGTAAATATTTCTATTCATTTACATTCATTTCTTATCGTATATACCTGAAAAGGTGCTTCGATTTTCGTTATCATTTTCTTGGTATGGGAGTCGCAACCGTATCACGTCACGTCAAATGTTTTTCCGTAACTTTCATGAATGAAAAAAATACACAAATAAAAACAAAATACAAGTACTAACATACAATACATGCATGTTTATATATCAGTTCACATGCGCTCTTTCTTTTACAAAAGAAAAACAAAACACCTGTTCTGTTTTAGATGTCTACAATAATTAAATTAAAGGAATTTTTTTATATATGTATGTGTATATTTTTATGAAAAATTGGCTCCAAGGTTTAACTACACACATAAATTAAACATTAATAATTAGAGTCACACTCATTTTTTACATCCTAGTTACATAATTTCCACCTCTCTCAGCCACATACATATGCGCGTATATATATATATATACATATATATTACTATTATTTTTATTATGCAATAGAATATTGGAATTTTACAAACAATCTACAATATTTCAATTATATGCATATATGTTATGTACATGTTTAATTTATTTATTTATTTACTCACTTGGACCATTTTCATATCCAATCCAAAATTAGAATTTGAATAGACTTTGATTTTTAGTTACTCTCTTTTGTATAAATATACTATGTATCTTAATTTTTTCATACTTGTACATCTGGATTCATTACAAGGTTCGCAAATTTCGTTTCCTTATTTAATTATCTTTTTTTTAATATGTATGTATTTATGTATGTCAGGCTATTGTGCAAACTTCAATCTTAAATATTAATTTCAGTTTTTTGTACGCGACTTATTCTATAAGACTTTCAATGCTTGCGCCAATTTCTTTATGTATGTATGTATATGTTTATGATATAAGAAATCTAAGATTATTTTGGTACATATGAGTTGCATCAGTTCAACTGTATCTCTCTTTATACTCTTTCACTTAAAACCACGACTATGCAAATAGAAAACATTTTTATAAATAATAAAACATAGTAACGTAGGTGCAAGTAAAACGTAAGTCAAATGAGTAAAACTCAAGTTAATGAAAAGTATGTGCATATCGCTTGCGCGACACAAGAATGCCATTACTCAAAAACACCAAAATTTGCGCTGCATTGTCAGCAAGCTTTGATGTATGTATATCAAAATATCATAACGGTATTATGTTAATATCATTTTTTTTTTGTTTTTTGGAAGGAGTTTAAAAGCCGAGTCACTTAAAATTTTTGTTTCGCTTTGCTTTCGCTCAGACATTTGACCGATAAGTTCGATGCATACTTTTGTATGCGTTCGTTCACATCGAGGCAAAGCGAAGCAAAATGTTGGGTATCTCTCATATTTTTACGCTTTGCCTATCAACCGTCACCATTTTTATTAGACAGGAACACTGAAAGCAAAGCGTTCATTCTGGCATACTCCTTGCTTTCTTGGCTTCATTGGTGGAGGGTCTTCGAGTGTATTTTTTTTCAACATTTTTATAATTGAAAGATGAACATATACCGTGCCATAGTGAGACACTGAGAATTTTATGGGTGCATTTTAAATTGTCGAATTACAAAAATCTATAACATTAATCAAATATATATCTAGTTTGATATGTTTTCGAGCGATATTATTTGCGAAACCGAACATATATGTATGTATATGTATTTCAAAACTGCTAGTGCCTTTTCTCGACCGTCTGTGAAATTGCTTTTTAGCTATGCATAGCCGTCTACTTTTCAATAATAAAAATGATATTCATTTCAATACGCCAAATTATTGACTATTTATGTTTGGAAGAGACTCTATGAATGGACATAAGTTAATGTGTATAACGATTTAAACTACTCATGAAATTTTTGTGGAGTTGAACGATAGCAACAAGTTTATGAAACGACATGTTATACACATTTCACTCGATTTGACTTGAAATATTAAGAAATATGTTAAGAGAGTGGTTATCCAAGAATAGTTATAATATAATTTGAATTTAAATTTTTTTAGCGTAAGTGTATGAATGCCATATTTACTTTTATTTGAGAGATAAATTACTACTTTGGCTACTTTTAAAAAACAAATTGAATTTTACAACAAATTTTGGTCTTCCAAAATTCGATTTTTTATCAGATCAAAAAAGTTATTGTATGTAGAATTATACAGAACAGGCCGGAAAATATTGCATGACGATCAATTAATTTGTCTTCAAATTATCACTGCAACAAATTCGAAAAATGTTGTTCGGAGAAAAACGCGTTTAAAAATAATCTGGCGGGCTGGATTGAACTGAGCGGCCGTTTAAATGGATGTAACTCAAAAACTATTTGAAATATTGTTTTGAAATTTTATTATTTTAAAGGGTATAAATTATCGAAATCTAATCTGAATTTTTTCATATTTCGATAAGGAATAATTTTTTAAGTCAGGAATAATTTTTTAAGTCAGCACTAATTTGAAATCAAAGGAATTTTTTTTGCTTTGCAAATTGCACTTTAAACATAAAGTTAAGAAAAAAAACATTGATAAGATGCCAAAAATTGTAGTTGTTATCAATTTATATTCGAAAGCGAATTTTTAACACCAAAATAAAAACTTAAAAAAAAGAAACGAAAAAACGAAAAATAAAATATCGATAAAAAGATACAAGCACTAGTCCAATCACCATAAAAAACATACACGATATTGGATTTTTTGCGTTTTCGAACCATTTCTGACAATTGCAAAATCACATACTTTTACTTTCTAATTAACACACCAGCTCGGTAAGCGCGAACAAAGCTAAGCTAAAGGTTTCAGACATTATATTCGTATAAACTATAGATATAATTATAGTTAAGTGGCCATGAGACACTTTCGAAAGAATTCTGTCTTTTAATGGAGCATAATTTTCAATCAAAACTTCAAAATTATTATTAAAAAAATTAAACTATTATAATTTTACTAATGCTACCATAAACACATTTATTTAAAAATAAACTTTAAATAATGTATGCCTAGTAAAAACAACTCAACTAATTTCATTTAATAACTTTTTTATGCGCGCTTTGAAAACTTTGGTCAAAACTCGCTCTACAATTTCGATCGCAAAATATGTACTTCTTAGGCGAATTGTCTTCGTTTGCACAGCTGTATCCATTTCACATATATGTATATGTGTATATAATTTTAATCTAAAGTTTTGATGTTCAACATTTGCACTATATGATATGAAATTTGTGCAGAATGGTCACTAATATATATTATACTCGTATAAGATAAATATTTTACTGAATATTTGCTTTTTACATGATTTATTATGTTTACTTCGCTATAATTTACACATTGGAATATACACAAGTGATTTACTTTAATAGTAACAGTTTTACACAGATAAAAAAGAAAAAAGAGTTAAGAACTTATATGTACTATGACAAATGTGCTTGTATGTGTGTGTAAATTTATATGCACTAGTTAATGTTACTATCTGTAGCTCTTAAATTTATTGTAGTCAGTCGGGTGAGGTGATGTCTGCTGCTTGGCGGCGGCATGCAGCGCTGCAAATGTGGATGTTGGAGCAGCCGAGAAGTGTCTGTGGGCTTTGGCCAGATACATCTCCCAAAGCCTTTGCACCTGCTGGGGATTGATCAAATGCCAGGCGTACAAGAACTCCACTTCATCACTATTCACGGTGTCATTGAGCAAATTGTCACAATCAGTTTCGTAGAGTATGTATTGGTCGGCGTTTTTGATGGCGATGCTTAGATTCTGCGCCAAAACACCCGTTATGTGGACGTCATCGATCCAAAAGTAGGTCGACACCTGTGCAGCATTATATAAGGCTAGCACCACGTCGGGCGAATAGATAATGGCATAGCCGGGACAGTATGGCGGATAGTATTTGCCGGGGAACTCGCGCACTGTGACGCGCCATTTCGAGCGGTAGCTGCGTTTGACCATAGCGTTGATGTTGGTTTTGCAGAAAAGCAAATCGCGTGGATGGCGGAATATCATTTGTGCGGCATTGAATTGTGTGATATTTGTGTGTGTGTGCGCAGCATTGGCATCGGCGGAGTTTCGTACATTATTACTGCTACTCGTGATACTACCGCTACTACTACTAGTGTCTACAATAGTATTATTCTCAAAAGCTTTTCTATCATTATCGGCGGTATGTTGTAGAGATATGGCAGCACTGGCTTGAGCATCCCTAGCGGCAGCGGCAGCGGCAGCGTCGGCGACGACAATAGGTGTATTCTCTCTAACATTTTCCAGATCACCGTTGACAGCAGCGCGGTCCAGGTAGATGAGAAGTTGTGGTGTATTCACGTAGACGTCGTCATCGACTTTGATGAGAATTTGCGCTTGCGCACAATTATATAGAAACCATTTGAAAGCCATCACATGCTTATAGGTCATATTGCGGTAGCTATCCACAAAGGAACCCTGCACAATATCGCCGTTTTCGAAATTCTCACGTTCTATATCCAACTGCAGCGCTTCGGTCTCAACGATACCGATCAAAAAGATTACTCGCAATGGCATAACACCATTCACGGACGGCAATTGATCAGTATTGGCCCACGTCTCACGTATAAGACGTCGCTTCTCTTCATTAGCTGGCGCCGAATGTACTAAAATTAGTGCTTGCACATCCTGACTACAACTTTTCTGGTTTATAAGGTACGTAAAGTCATGCAGATCGATTAATTGATGGAAGTCAACCGGTGGAAAGCTATAACCTCTCGCATTTCCTATCGTTGTTGTTTGCACCTCTGCAGTGTTCTTCAGTGTTGCCGCTGTGACTAACGGTGAGGGCGTACTTTTTACTGAGCTGACACTTCGTAGACTCGTCGTGTGCTCATTAAATATGTGTTGACTCTTATTCTTATGGCTAGTACTAGACCTATGTGTATTACTACTGGTACTGGTAATGCTACTACTACTACTGTGGCCGCTAATGTGAAGACTATCGTCCGCTTTTCGCGTTACTTTGGCAGCGATTTCATTCGCCTCGGCGCTATCGGCTAGTAAATGCTTACCGGCGTATAGCTGTTGTTGTGCTATGACATTGCGCACCGCGACACCGCTGCGCCAGACTGATGGCCATTGTCCGACTTGTGGTTGCTGGCGTTGTTGGCGTAACGGCGGCACGTAATCGTCGAAGTCGGGGTTTTGCTGTAGGTTCACATTCCCCGCACCACTGCCGTCGTATTCGACATTTAGCATAGCCGGTTCCTGCATTCGCCATATCACAACGCAGACATTCAACAATACTATTAATCCCCATAAGGGACGACGTTCCAACATGTCCAGCACTGCCCGGCACCTACTCCGGGCATAAATTTCGTCGCGTCTCAAATAATGGAGACGTTGTCTTGGGAGTATTCTCTAACTTTTTTGTGACTTTTGTTGAATTTTAGCTCAGCGCCGTTGTTCGCATTGGAAATGTGATGCTTATTTGAGTTTAAAGGTGCTGGTTCATTTTCCAAAGTCACCCGTTAAGTATTGATGCAATTGTCTTCCGAATTGTTGAAGGGATATCTGAAAATAAAAAAGGTGCATTAATTTTGAGGAATCGAAAATTTCCACTAGGTTAAAACGTTAAGTTAAAAATAATAGACCTCAAATAAAAGTACAAATTAAATATTTTCTCTCCACATGCATTGGTTGGTTATATAGAATCATAAAGAATGACATAATTAATGAATAACGTAATATTCTATATATCAATCAAATATGTTTTTAATAATGTTTTGCAATTTGGCATTGCAAACCCAAACCTCTTACAAATTTACGAAATTTTTGCAAAAATTTTAAAATTTCACAAACTTAAAATTGAAATATCTCCAGCAGTATTGAAGTTAGCGATTTAGCTCTTGAGACTTTTTTGTAGGAAATTAAATTTCCTACAAGCTTTTCAGTTACATTTTTCATAAGTTTTGTCATTTACATAATATATGAAAAAGCCACAAATTTAATGGAAAAATCAGCTTTAGTGGCCCTACTACCTCGCGCGTAAGAGTTACAATCGGACCACTATAGCATATAGCTGCTGGAATCAAGTGCTTGGAATCTTCACGATATTAGGCACGAGTTATTGTTTAAGGTAAACATGTATTCTCCGAGGAAATTGTTCAGATCGTATCACTATAGCATATTGGTGTCGTACAAATTTAACGATCGGAATCAAATTCTTGTAAAGAACCTTTGTATTTGTGAAGGGTATTATAACTTCGGTGCAGCCGAAGTTAACGTTTTTTCTTGTTTTTAGGTATTTCCAACAAAATTTCACGATGGGACCGAAAGGCACCCTAGTATGTATGCATGTGTAAATTAAAGTTCTCTTCTATCCAAAAATACCTTTGCAGCAACATTAGCAACGATTTCATATTTATTTAGCAGTCTTAAACTGTCGAATAATTATTCAAGTGCATAAATCCGGGCACACACTCATACATACACATTTATAGCAAATAAATGGTGGGAGTGTGCAGCAATCATTTTCCTCAAAAGCGGCTTGTCAGTTGTCATACATACAAAGCATAGAAAAGGAAAATAAAAAGAACATCAGTCAGAAGCGCACAAGAGCAAATCAAGCGTCAGCATCGTCACACTTATATGTTTGTATGCATATAAGTATATACGTATGTATGTACGTGAAGGGAATGCGCGACGATTTCAATTCAGTGTCAAAGTCAAATGGAAGAGATTATATCGCGACGACAGCGGAGACAAAACAATAGACCCCTACAGCGCCGCAAATAGCAACAATAACAAAGCGAGCAACAACAATCTGGGCAATTTCAATAGCAATAATCAGAGCAACAGCGGCAGTAGCACTGGAACTATGCGAACTATCAAGCAAGTAAAATATTAGAGAAGAATGTACATATGTGTGTATGTGTACATATGTACATGAGTATGTGGCGGGATCCACAAAAGTTCGGCGAGTGAATATATTTATGTATATTAGGTTGAGGATCACTTTTGGGACTGCTACAGACCATCTTTGGTGAAACCGGAAAAATCATATACAAATACATACATAGATCTCATTAATCGAACAAGAGGATACTGAAAGTATGATATCAAATCTCACAAAAGCGGGGCAGTCAAGATGGAAATGTTGAGATGTTTTTACCTCGGCTTTTTAACGAAAATATTAAAGACCACTATAGAATTTTAAAAAATCTTATAGTTTTTCGCTTAAAATATGCTTTAATAGGCATAAAAATAAGTTTCAAGTTGATTTGTAGCGAGGAAAATTTTTTAAAACGAATTTGAGCGTATATAGTAAGCCGACCTCCGGCTCAGCTATAGTTATAAGTGAAACTTTAAACGCGTTTTTCTTAAAACTATTTTTTTCCAATTAGCGAGATAAAAAACTTTAATAATTTTTATCCGATCGATTTCAAATTTTGAGATTATCTTTAGATTTGGATTTTGCATAGAAGTACGTAGGGAAATTTCGAGAAAAAAAATGTCCTTGGTAGATTATATCACAAAAAAAAAATGAATGATTATATGCCCGCACCAGTGGCCATACCCCTTAAATACATAATATTTTAAGACTAAATTAATCAACTATTTTGAATATATTTGATGCATAAGTACAAATTCATTTTAAAGAAAAATTTCTATAACAAACTCATATTACCCGAGTAGAAAAGTATTTTTGCTGGCGTCGCTATTCATACCGATCTTCAACAATTTTTTCTAAAGAATATTTAGAATTTACCCTCAGTCCTATAGAATATTTCTCTTGCGAAGTTATAATGCAATGATAAAACTGTCGGTCGCAAAATACTGGAATGAACTATTAATTAAATAAGGAAATCAGCGTCAATCATTCACTGAATGGATAGAGACCAAGTGATGAATGAAGAAAGAATTATCTCAAAATAGGAGAGCCTGCAGTGTTGCCCTCAGTACTTATGCTTCAGTTGGTGACAAACATGCCGGCCTGCCGTACTTACCGCCCGTATCAAACGTAATTTGTTAAAACTTATGCTCGCAGTGACAACGTGGAAATCAGTTTTTCAATTTTGCCATTGCTCAATTTTTATAGATGGTTTAACACACATCTAGCTATTAAGTTCAAATAGTTGTACACATATGTATGTGTGTACGTACTCATTCGGGTTAACGTTTAACTTGTTATTGCTGTGAATTAACTTTTTCCATTCCTGTTTTTTTCGCTACAGACGATCAAATCGAAATTTAAATACAATTTAAAGACCAAGAAAAAACATTTTTGGTACGGAAATTCAACACGCTTTCAAATTTTCTCCATCACTGGTATTTTTAAGCATTTTGCCTTTTTATATATACATAAATACATTTCTTTATATACATATTGCTCATGACAGCAGCTTTTTGGTGAGACTCTTTTGATTTCAATCACAAAATAATTGAGACAATTTTACCCCCAGTACGAGCTGTAACCAAAAAAACAAAACCAGCCGTATATGGTTATTAGACCAGGTTCGATAATTTTTGGTAGCAAAAAAACATAATGGTAGGATGAAACTCATTGGAAACGGAGAGATAAAATAACAAAAATTTACGGGCGATCTGAGATCGGGAAGAAGAAGAGGAGGGGGGTGATTGAATGTTCAAGGGTTAGAAACAGTTTATCTCGATTTACGGCAAAACCTAACTTATGTTGCTATACTACAGAATATAATAGTTTTGTTCTAATAACGGTTGTTTGTATAACCTAAAACTAATCGAGATAGATATAGGGTTATGTAAATATAAATGATCAGGTTGACAAGACGAGTTGAAATCCGGGTCTATCTGTCCGTCCGTCCGTTGTAGTGGTCCGATTACGCACATCTACAATACCGATCTCTCTTGGGTGCCAAGGAACATACTTGTATGTAGCACGTTTCATCCACATATCTCAATTTATACTCAAGTTGTCGTTTGCACCGATAAAAGTTACAAACACACAAACATATAGGAGGCCGTTCCGCTTCAAGCAGACGACTGCAGGGGTGGTTTCTGCGAAAACATATCAGCATAAACTGCTTGGAGAGGAGCTCGTTGTATTCCTTCACCGAAAGCATACGGGCTTCACTGTGTAAGTGTTCGATTGGAGACATCAAAGGGCATCCCGATATAGTTCGGAGTGCATTGTTCTCGCATGTCTGAAGGCGATCATATCGGAGGAGCGTAGTTTAAGACCGGCCGGCTATGAGCTGTTGGCAAGCGACTTGAGCATTTTGTTGCAGCTCTGTACTTTGGCAGTTATCGCGGTCGTGTGAAGAATGAAGTAGCACAGTCTGTCAAATATAACACCTCAAATTTTAGGATTGGGGAAGAGTGTTAAGCTCCGTTATACAAAACTGGAGTTTAATAAATGAAATTATCAACATTTAAAATACATACATATGGATATACATATATATATATATATCACAATTATTTAAAAAAATATAGTTTATATGTATGTATGGTAAGTAACACATAGGAATGTGCAAGGATTATTTTCGTTCATATTTTTGTATGTTGCATGTGAGTAGTGACTGGTCGGTCAATGACACATTATAGCAGTGACTCAGAACACCGATATGGGTAACGCTTGATATTTAAAAGCAAAAATGAATATTTAAAATATTTATAGTATATGTGCTTAATTTCTTTGTGTGATTTGTTATGATATTTATTTTTTAACAACAGAACAAATTTTTTTTTTAAATTATTTACTTTTCGACATTGTGTTCATATTGCTAGATATGCTCCATATTTTATTTTTAAACTGAATTGAAAAGCTTGCTTTATCCAAAATTGTTTGAAAAATGCCATATCTAAAACAAGATTCGAAAACGATCTGTATGTTATGTGGTAAGTTTCAAGATAGGTTGTTACTCAATCAAACACGACGAAACTGTTTTAAATCTGCTCTCGAGATACTGTAATCTATCAATCAAGTCACGAAATGCAATAATGATACAGCAACTAAATGGAGACCATAACGAATTGCGGCTGTTGGCTACATCTCGACGCAGCTACATAAGTCAAGGGAGCATAATTGAGTAACGAAAATTAACAAAAACAAAGAAAAATTACAAGTATTGCAATCTCAGTTATGACGTCAGTGATAATCGATTGTAGAAAAGAATCTCTTATAAAATAATATAACCGAATCAAACATAATAATAACTTTCTCATGTTTTAATAAGCGAAATTTTATCGCTACTACTTTCCAAAAACAAATAACAATAATTAATTGAAAAACTTTGCTTACTTTCTTAATTGTATTTAGATCACTTTGCACTCATATCACATTCTGTTGTAAAAGGTGCTATTAATTTCAGCCAACTCTTTTGCATTTCGTTCATTTACCCCTTCAACCCATAGAGACCAACATCTCGCACCGTTGACGTTAATGTCTACCTTTACTTTTGTATGTAAATAACATAGAAATTCACACGTAACGCGTCGTCTCTAACGTAAAGAATAAAACCAAAACGGTTCACTTCACACTCTTGACCTTTAATGAACTGACTTAGTCGTAGAAATACTAGGCTGACAAA